ATAAGTCACACGATTTCTAGAAGACTTAAACTCAGTAAAGTCAGCCAGTGATTTGCTTTTCCGCCACACTCTTTCAGCCTTCCTACGTCGTCTCTTAGCTGCGTCAATATCCACATTGTACCAAGGAGCAGATGGTCTCGCCCGAAGCACTTTTGTTTTTAGTGGAGCATGTCGATCAGTCAATTTCTTGAGAGTTAAGTTGTATTCACGTGCCAAAGCGTCAATGCTGTTCTCGTCTCGCCGATATTCCGTCTTACAATAACGGGAGGTACACAGTGATGTAGCTGCCAGATCCTCCCTGAGAACATCGCGGTCCACAGACTTCAACTTCCTATAAGTTATTTTTCGATACGATATCAATGACGTTGGAGCTGCAAGATGACAGACAACAGCGGCATGGTCCGATATAAATCGATCAATGCCCGGTCTGCCATCCATAATATCATCCGAAAAACGTGTTATTATTAAGTCAAGGGTGTGGTCATTAACATGGGTAGCTTGATTCACATGCTGCCGCAATCCAACCGATTCAAGTAGATCACAAAACTTAACAGAATCAGGATCTTCAGTGGAGTCAACGTGTATGTTAAAATCGCCACAAATCAATAGCGGTTCCTTGCACAGTAACAACGGTTCTAGATGACTAAAAAACTCAGCCAAGAACACACTCACGGGTATCCTGTGTTCACTTGAATAAGGAGGTCGGTAGACAACAAGAATACGTAGTTGATGTGCAGACGATGAGTTAACCAGCCACTCAGAAAACTCAAATGATTTCTTGTTCCCTGCATCCACTTTTGTCACACCAAGAAAATCTCGATACAACAAGGCAATTCCTCCACCGCGACGCATGCCACGCACGTGATCATCCATTTCGTAACCTTCAGGACATAACTCAGCTCGTACCGCATCATCATCCCTGCCCAGCCAAGATTCCGTAATTGCAAGAATATCGGGCTTGCAATCATGCACGATGTAGTCAGCGATATCTCCGGTCTTATTCCTGACTGAGCGACTGTTGACTAGACAGAATTTAAGAGAGTTATTGTGACAGTTCGCAGATATTTGAGGCAAACAATCAATACTAATTAGATTTGTCTGCTGCGAGCGTCGAACAAAGTCAGATACGGGAGGGCGTAATGCTGTTGAATTAATTAGCCCATAATCGGGACGACTCGAAACAATGGTGCCAATACGGCGTAAACTGTTCATATTGGCATTCGAAGATACCACATTCGTGGGCCCAGGGTTAAGCTTAAAAACAAGGTCTCCCTCCAATATACAATGAAAAGAGGCAGATGTATTAGCATAATATCTACACGGACATCTGCAACGCTTGATCTTGCGTAGCGTCGAATAATATCTACACACATTACTGATAGAAAAACTCCACTCCCCACTGCCAAAAACCGCTCCCACTGCCAGGAAAATCTTATAAAATCTAGCTTGGATACCATTGTATCTTACAGCTAAGCCCGTGGTCACTCCGCAGTGCTTTAAATTGGTTAGCGACAACAAATTAAGAGAAGCAGGTTCTTGTGACAGCAATAAATGATCACATGAATATTTAATTTTGTTATTATAGTTATTATCAGTCAAGCACATCGAGCACAAGATGTCGTTTGCTTTGTCGCTTTTCATGTGCTTACACGATGAAGGTAAATCAAATCCAAGGTTAAATGAAATAGCCATGTACATTGTTACATCCATCACAGCGAACTTCGTAGGAAAAGCCAAGGAAACCACACTATGTTTCATAGGCTTCGGGATTAGTAGCGACGATTTACATTTCGATATTCGTTTAACTTGCCGATCACTCAGACAAATTTGCAAAATTGAATTATAACTGTCCAAACATTGCCCATCCTTTGCGAATCCATAAACATCTTCGATAATAAGAACTTCATAATTAATTAGATGACTCCTCTGAGCCAAAATAACTCCAAAAATAAAATAAAATATTAAAAAGCTTGAGAGCTCAAAATACAAGCCGGCAGCCATATTGTTAAGGTGGTACCTTAACAGAACCAACAAGCAGTCACAGTAAAAGGAACGATGCATGGTGGAAAGTAAACGGAACGATGGTAAACAGTAAAAGGAACGATGATTACTGCAGAAAGACCAGGATTCGCTATTACTAGAAACCAATCGTTTTTCAAACCTATTAAAACAACTGGGCTGTCTTCTGAAGATGAGGAGGAAATGGAAGATAGTGATGAACATGAAGAACAACGTGATATTGGAGACAATGAAAATAACAACAATCACAACCGAGATGAACAACAAAATCTAGAACGAAAATATCCAAGGAGAGAACGAAGAAGGCCGAACTATTATCATTAAGCCTTATTGTAAATAGAAAGGGCTGACAGTGACAATCATATAACTTGTTGGACAATCAACAATTTGTCTTAGCATTCATATTCTGTTTTGTTAAATACCAACACATAGATATAGTGGTAGATGATTAACAACGAACTGCAATTGTGAAAAACTCTGAGAAAAGGAGGGATGTAGTGTCTAGCATAATTAACATAATAAACATTAATTATGGACCACGAGGAAGTAAGCAAGATGGCGATATACATGCAACTGTAAGATTATGTTCTGTTAGAGATTATTAAAGAAAGCATAGATAACAATGTTATAGACAACATTATACCGGACATAATGTTATAGACAACATTATACCCGACATATCATAATTTATCCGAAAGTACAAAACTTTTCCCCGACATATTATAATTTTTAATTCCGAGCCTCTCAAATATTTTCGCTCACCATGAAAACAATTTTCCGATAAATCCGAAAACAATTTGCCGATCTAGCAGACATTTGCCGATCGAGTCTAGCAGACATTTGCTGAATCTATGATGAATGGGGGGGGGGGGGTGTTACAACCCCCCACACACACACCCCTCTAGCTACGCCCCTGCCTATTGTATAACAAAAAACTGCATAAACGTGGCAAATATTGAAATCATTTCAAGTTAAATAAACACCCCACCCTTATTAACTGTCTGCTCCAATTTTTACTTTTTTTACCATCAAAGCCTTAAATCTCAAAATGTCAATAAAATTCAGATTATTTTATTTAAGCTTTTGAAGCCTTACTTGCATTTCATTGCCGTGGCAAGTTATAGCATTTAACAATGTCTAATCACAGGTTTTATTATTATTATTATTATACAAAAAAACCGATTTGCAGCTACAAAGCTGAATTGCTCGGTTTACATAATGTTCTAAAAATACAGTTTATAAAATTACAAGTTAAAAACTAATAATTAAGATATGATTATATATTATATAGTTTATTAAGACGTATAGGTATTAAAAGATACTACACTACTTGGTATATAACTATTTTTAAAACGGTTGGTACAAGACCAAATGTGTGTAAAATTGTTTTAGTTTTCTGCGTTAGGAGAAATTGAACTTTCATCACAAAGAAAAAACTTATCTTGATAAAATCTTATATTATAAAAGCCGAATTTTTAATCATTTACTCTTTTTTGTGTTCTCTGAACTTCTGAAATTATGAAAAAAGTCGAATTGTGAGCTTTGATTTAATGTAAAATTTAATCTGAAATACTTGGTAAAATGTTTTGAAATGTTTCATCGACTATAAGAACTGGCTGCTTTTGCCAGTTTAAATAAATTATTGAATAAAAGGAAATGTTACAGCTATACTTTGAAAAGGAAAGCAGTGCACATTTTGCGCAAAAAAATTAAAGGCAATAAAGCAAGTAAAATTAATAAGCATTAAACATTCAAAGCAAATTACGGGAACTACTGAGTATTTTAATAAAATATAAAACAACGGTAACTCCGAAAATAAACATTTTAATATTCTAGCTTTCGACTAAGATTCAGTCATCATCAGGAATTAGAATATTAAAATGTTTATTTTCGGAGTTACCGTTGTTTTATATTCAAAGCAAACTTATCCCACTCCTGGCAAACAACCACATTTATGAGATCAGTGAGGTGGGCCACCCATGACAACACTTCAGACTTCGCTAATGGTTTCCTTTTCCCGGGTGTAAATAGCCGAGCAGAAATAGTACCCTCGTTCTGGCGCTTCGGGGAAAACATTGTGAAAAATCTACCTTGTACGTATTTTCAACTAACGCCAACAAAACCTTATTGAGATGTTCTATTGTTCTTTAATTAAAAACATACAGTAGTTACCGCTTTTCCGTATTTTAGGTTTATTTTTTGTCTCTTTTGAATATTTTGAATGACTTGGAGACAATTTTTTGTTTGAAACTCGGCCCTCGTCGCAGCTCGCGGTTCGCAGGGCAATTAAAATTCCATATTGCCTGTGCAAAATCCTGCCAATCAAATTGCAGCCAATCAAATTGCGTGATTCACTAAAACAAATGCTTGCCACATAATAAATAAACATATGATAATACTATAATATACCATGCTGTCAAACAAGACCGCGGGGTATAGGCTCCCAATGACGGTATGTACAGTAAGTAACAAAGCTGGAATAATTGGTTGGGTTAGGGCTATAGCAACCTCGTTCCCAGGGCTTCTGTGTGAGGACGAGGCGAGACCACTGGGCGAGACACGAGGAAGCCCTGGTCCGGGCCGGTCACGTGACGGCAAAATTTGGCAGTATTTGACAGCTACTCGTCAAGGAGTGGCGAGATATTCTTTAATGAAATAATGAAATATACAAGTCTTCGAAACAAATAAATAGCCAAAGGACTTCTCAATCGATATTATTTATGTGTAGAGCGAAGTTTGGCACGAATCAGCTAAAATCTATGAAGATCCCGTCTATGTTTTCTAAGATATACCGATATTTCTGGAGATTTTCAACTACAGGCAAAGCTACATCCAAGCTGCATCTAGGCGTATGAGTCTCCATGCAAGTGGTGATTCACACGAAATTTCCTTTCTCTCGTCTTGAACAATACGGCTATTGCTATAATTAATATTTAGTTAAATATGCTCTTATAGATCTGACTTAGTTCAGTATAAATAAACACAAATATAAACCTCGCGTAACCTGTTTACGCTGTACAGGAGTATACGGATCCGCTTGTTTCGTCGGACACCAACACTTGCCGTTCAGAAGCCGAATGCTTGCCTACAAATTTTATCCCCTTCACAATCTTTGTTTTATTTTATCGTATAGTCGCAATTTTCAAGTATTCGGGGGTATTCTGAAACTGAAGAACTGGGTGTCGGCCTAGGCGTAGAGCTATTAAGTAAACCGGGCCTAAATTAATTTAGTAGCTTCATTTAATTGTTTGTCTTGCTTTTATTTGTCAGTACAGAATATTGTAAATTAAAATATTACTACAATGCAATTCGCGTAGTATTTCATCAGACATCTGCACTAATAAATACTGTACAAGGAAAACTACAGCTTAAATAATGGTAGACGTTTCTTGTTTTGTCAGGAAACATCACAGCTCACTTCGACACAGCTTTTCAGTTTAGTAACCGGCCAAGACGAAAGTAAATCATGCAGTCGGGAAAACGCACTGATCTGAAAGAAAACGTCTTACTTTGAAAGATTATTTTGCAAAACATACTCGTACACACAAGAATCATAAAAATACAAATGTTGAATTGTTAATATTGTCAACTGTCAAGTTCAGTTATTTTTAGACAATATGGTGTTAGCCAATCAGAATGCAAAATTGACCGGCCCGGACCAGGGCTTCCTCGTGTCTCGCCTCGTGGGGCAGAGTCTCTATCTAGAATGGTATGTAATAATTTAGTCAATTACTGACCCAGTTGACTCCCTGAATCTGAATCTTCGTTTGTGTCTAAAATAATAATGATAGAGATTTGAAGAAGAAAACGAGGGTATACGCGGTAACTATTTAACAGTAACATCTATTATAAGTGTATGTAACAAATTCGTTGAGAACAATAAAAGTGTAAAGATTTAAGTTTTTTGTAATTTTGTAATTTTGTTTTCTTCTTTATATTACGAAAGTCACCGAACTGTGGAATCACATCAAAAATTCGTATCGCCTTCACTCCCACAAACGTCTACGACCGCACCTACATATTTCTGCATGCTTATACAATTCTAATTTGGAACAGCCAATCCGGTTCTTGGATTAAAATTACAATTAAACGTCGATTGGCTGTTCAAAATTAGAATTGTAAACATGCAAAAATATGTAGGTGCGGTCGTAGACGTTTGTGGGAGTGGCAGCGATACGAATTTTTTATGCGATTCCACAGTTCAGTGACTTTCGTAATAATACACTTCAATTTATAATTCTGGAAATAATAATAATTCAATACATTGATTATATGTTCTTCTGCTATATTCATATTTTTCCTTATTGACAAAAGGATTGATACAAATCATTTCAGAACAAATGTTTAAAAGCTTACTTGCTTCTAATTTGTTGTTTACACTCTCAATAATATTTTAGACAATTTGAATGTAGTAATTGGTGTTTTGGGTCATATAATAAACAGGTATTACCTTGGTTTTGTTTCAAGACAAACTTGTAATCAGCTGAAAAACTCGGTCTTTCCTTGGCATCGAGGTCAGAATCAATCCAAAGCATCACATACGTCGATGATCCCTTGATAATAATGGTACGAGAATTGATATTTTCACAGATTCGACCCAATGATGTGTTTGTTGGGAACGATCCATTAAAAAATTCAACAAAATGCTTGGAACAGGAGGAGTTACTGATAACCGAGCTTGTCGTGTATATCAAAGAGAGATGAATGTTGTAGTTCTGCGGAGCTTTTACCAACCATTGACACAGGAACACTTGGTGCTTCTCTGATGTGATACTCTGGGCTTCTCATTTTGCCCTTATTTGTTGATAGAATTCCTGTCCCATCGCAGGCTAAGTGGAAAGAAATCATTCATTAAAAAAATACAGTATATCATATCATGAAAAATACAATATATATAATGTCATGTAGACTCTGTCCGACTAAACACTGATTTAGGGAAGGGGGCTGCAATCCGCCAGCTCCCCCTGCCTCATACGTCTATG